AGAGTGGCCAGATCTTCAAATTTTCCACAATAAATCATTAATCTAGTTTCTTAAAATCTCCTGACTTAAAAATGTTGATAAACTATCAATTTTTAAATTGAAAACAAATAGCTCTGTGCAGATCATGCAAAATCCAACCAAGGGTAGGATTTAGCTGATGACTCCTGAGTTTCAGTCTAGAACCTGCTGACTAATAGGCAACTAAACTAAACAAAATCTATTACTGTTACCACCTTGAGTCAAGATAGAGGACATTAGCCTTATCTTCATGTTAAAAGTAGTTGATTATAAGCTTTCTTGCCTTTACTGTCAGAAAATAAAGTTTATTCATAGCTCTTTCAAAGATATTTTCCTGAGATTAACTATTATTCTTTGTGACTTTTGTTCTTCCAGATACCTTTGATTTTCATCATAAATTAACTGTCCTTTTTAGTCGGTTTTATTGTAATGTTTTATCAGAGGTAGGGAAAAAAAAAAAAAAAGAAATCCACATGACCTGTCATCAGAGTCTCATGTTATCTCACGGGCCCTTATCCTAGAGACCCAACTCCACCTCCAAAAGACACCTGAACTCCATCTATACCCTCTGGGGAGAATCTACCATCAACATAGTACTAGGTCAAACACATGCTACTGACAATGATCCTGGCCAGAGATGCATGAGTGAAATTGCACTGAATGATAGCTGAAGTTGTTTGGTATCAATAGGAAAAGAGAAACAAGAAAATCTTTGTCAGAAAAAAAAAATTTGAGGAAAAAAATTGAGGAAAAGGATTTGAGGAAAAAAATATAAAAGAAGTGTGCATGAAGAGAATAATAAGAATTTTAAGCATTTGAATAAAATTAAGTGCCTTAGAATACACTCTATAGGTATTTGGGAATAGTTCTCCATTTGTATTATTCTGCTATGGCTTTGACTGCATTTCTCTCCATTTGCTGTTTTGCAACACTTGTGTATTTGTACAGAGGATTTACTGTTTTAGGACCATTTTTCCTGGAGTTAAAAATAAGTAGAGCATTGCTCTGCTTTTCACTTGAAAATTTTCCTATGGAAATTTGGAATCATTCCCATTTTTATTGAAATATGGAATATTTCCCTTTTTTTAATGGAAATACGTAACAAACCAGAGCTAAAACCTCCACTGCAGTTTGAAATAAGTCTGCCATTTTGGTTAGGTTAACAGTAAATGGAAATCACATGCAGAATTACCCAAAGACTTCAGCAATTATTTGAAGAGTATTCAGCAAACTGGAAAAAAAAATGGATTTTGCACCATGATTTATACATAGTATCACTAATAAAAAAAGTGGAAAAATGAACCTCAAAGTTCTTTTAAATTAGCTGCCTAATGCATTTTGAATCAACACTTCCACATACTTATTATAAACCACTAATGTGTCTCACATTGAGACTTCTTTCTATGGGTGACACCTCAGTGATTTATAAGTAACACTTTATGAGAACAAAGTGGAATACATGCCTCTGGGAATTTTTACTGTAGGCAAAGGACAATAACTTAATTTTGCTAAATGTTCTATATGCAGACTTGTCATCGTTTCCTGACACAAGGATTCTCACATTCTTTAAAATGTGTTGTCATTTATATCAAAGATACTGACATTAGTATTTCAATATCTAATGCTTTACTGATCATATATTTTTTCCAGGCTCCTGCTCTCTTATTGCTGTCCCACCCACTGTTGTCTGGTAGTGTGCTCAATAAGCCTGTTTTTCTGCTAAATACCTAACTACATATATACCTACCTACCTACCTACATACATACATAATACATACATACATACATTTGTTCTAGGCTCCTCTCTAATGATCTGACTCAATTTCCACTGGCCTGGAACCAGTGTAAGCACCATCCTTGCTTGCAAGGGAGCTCGTCTGGAAGATGGATCTATAGCAAGTAAACTATTTTTTATCTACCTTGTCATTCATTTATTTGGATTGATTTTGTAGGCTGAAAGGGCATGGTGGTGACTATATGGAGCTGTGGTTTAAATCTGGCAAGGCACAATTAGAATCACTATTGTCCCGGTTCTGTCTTTTATGTTCTCATACACCATATACTGAAAAAATCTCATAGTCTCAACACTCATCCTTGTTCTCACAGATCCTGGAAATCTCATTCTTTTCTGTGACCTAACTATATGAATATGAACGAACAGCCATGATTTATCTAATGTTTTTCTTTTTAATCACACATCCAATATGAAATCTTAAACATCAAAGTAACTTTACAAAGTTACTCCATTCCCTTGACTTCACAAATGGTGAAACTGAGACCTAAGGAACTTTCCTCACAATGTAACTTTATAACAACCATGTGTTTGGAATCTGAGTCCAATTTTTTTTCCAGCTCATCACTTTAATTTAAATACTTATTCAAGGTTAGGCCAAGCTCACGTCAGATATTGTCATAGACAAACACAATTTAGAAAAGATATTACCTTCTTGAATTGTAGATCCCATAATTATTTATCAATATCAAACTTGGGTGAAAAACATCAGCATGTATAACATTCAGTCAATATATAAAAGTCAATCAATATAAAAGCATAAAATTCAAGGTGAATATTAACATTTAATATATATTCACCAATTCCCCTAGAGTATGTATACATATAGAGAAGATGATACCACTAAAACAGCACAATTATGAATTGTGGGTGAAGATTTCCAGTAGGAATTATTTACAAGCTAACTGGTTTTCTTTGAGATTGCATGTTCCAATAATTACTAAGAGGTTGCACTCACACCTGATCCCTTGGAAGACACTTCATGTTCAAGAGTCAAAGAGAGGGGATTTCCATTTTCACGCTGGAGAAGATGTTTCAACTATAAATAGTTTAAATACATAATGGCCAGATTTTTCTCTTAGCTCTGAACATATTTAGGAAAAGCAGGCACGGGGGATATCTCATCTCAGAGGAAAAGAATGAGCAAATTAGTCAGCTTTTCCTGTGATATTGATCACAGAGAAGTAAGTAAATTTCAGAATAGTGTTCAAGGATGTGTATAGCTTTATTATTATTTTTTCTAATAAAAGGAAGTTTGGCTCACCAATAATGGACTGAGTATATGGATGACATTAAGAAGGATAAAGGAGGCTTTATTTTTGAGAGATGGAAATTAAAAGTGGTTCAGCCTTGTTTCTTTTGTTCTTGTTGGTGGTGGTATACGCTACTTTGCCCAGAAAGTTTTAGGCATAAGACGCCTTTTAACCAATGCTCTCGTTGTGACATGCATGAGATATTAAGTACTCTAAGTAGCTACATTTTTCAGCCTAAAGTTTTTTGTTGACTATAATAAAATTGTACTGCAGTTTAGCTACAGAAAATAACACAGTTGAATTAACCTACTTAAACTACCTAATAATCATCCATCTAGAAACCTGACCAATCACTGGCAAATGTCTGCACAAAGAAAAAAATGTTTTTATAAAAATGCAAGCTTAAACTAATCTCTGTTGTCTTTAAGAAGGTAGATAATACCAGAGAAACAAACCCCAAAATTCCTCCTACTTACCTCTCCACCATCATGTATACCTAATCCTGAAATGTACCCCCACAATTTTAAAATAAAAATTTTTAAGTTAAAAAAAAGATTTAAGAGGAGATAAGAGATGCTTAAAATTCCAGTTTAATTACAAAAGAGATAGTTTGGGGAACTAAAACTTTGTATTTAATGATGATTCTTGAAGGTAGGAGAATTTGATAGCATTTCTTAAAGGCATGAGTGATTCGTGACAAAAATGTACACTTGAAATTGACTCTGATTTTTAGCCAGTAGGAGAAACTAAAGCTGACTTTCAGGAAGCATATCATGTATGTGTCATGTACATCACGTCATGAAAGAAAAGGTCATGGCACGTGCTTGGAAGTGCCAGGTAATAATTCAGATAGCTGTGTTGATACTACGCTTTTCAATGTGGCTTTTGGAAAACCATGTCATTTTCATGCATGAACACATACATATAAAAATAAGTTTATAGCAGCTTGTTAAATGAACATTTTCAAAAACTTATCAAATATATTTGAAAACTAAAAAAATCTTGCAATTTTTCATTAAATATCTTACACGTATATTAACTAGAGATAAAGTAGGCAAACACATTATATAGCAGATTATTTTTAAAGCTGCTGTGTTTAAATGAGTCATTGAGAAAGTGTTAAAATGCAAAGGTGAATAGTACCATGCATTATTATGAATCATGTGGAATATTTATTGCTGTATACCAACATTTGGGTTGGGTGATATTGGAATGATAAAGCCTAAAGAACATTTAAATTAACATTTGCAACCAAATAAGACATTTTGTTAATTCACATTATATTCAGAAGAGGGGTTCTGATTTCCATTAACCTTGACTATCTTTACTTGTCAAGCAAATAACATGACAGAAGAAATAACAAATGTTCTTTTGCCATTAACCTACAGCAAGGGGACTTACATTTCCAGTATTTGTAACCATCTGATGCAGCCTACTAAGGCAATCGAAAGACCCTTCCATCAAAGATCTCCAGTTAGCCCACTGTAGATAAAATAAATATATAATCCAAACTGAACTTCACTTTCAAAGGCATGTAAGATGGTTTCCCGACACGTCTTGCCTATTTAAAAAAATTTTATAATGGTAAATAAACCCTGGAAAATTCCTTCTCTGATTTTACCACCTGAAACTGCAGCTGTTGGCTGCCACTATCACAGACTCACAACTCCAAACTCACGTGCAAACCTCATCAAGGGCAGACATTTCTAATTGATTCCAGAAGTATTTCTTGTGCTTAGATCAGGGGGCAATGGAAGAATAATGAGCAGCTTTTCGGAGGGAATTGGGGGCGAGGGTGTTGAGGGGAGGGGGAGGGGAGCGTTAAAAAAAATCTCAGACTTGGCCAGAAAAGGCATGGCAATTTTACGGTCAATTGGCGAGAGCATCTGGAACCTAGCACGCTAGTCCCACAGTCGATGGCAGTGAGACCAACTTACTTGCAAGCGACTGCAAGCCCGTAATGAGTCCCTGTCAGGTCCGGGTGGAGACCACGTGGACGCGCGGCCAAGCACCCTTGCACCTTCTTCTTGGCGACAGGATTCCCCCTGGAGCCCTGTCCAGTGCCTGCAATCTGCCCACGCATAGATCTGCACCTATTTCAGTCACGCTTAAAGACAACACAAAAAAAGAAAAAAGAAATAGAAAAGAAAAGAAAAAGAGAAAAAGAAAGACTGAGCATAAGGACGTGTGCGTGTGTGCTGTGTTTAATTCCTTGTGCACTGACAAGGCCCTACATCACAAGGCCGTGTTTACTTTCATTTGGGATCTATTTCAAACGCAGCAGGCCATCTCCTTAGTGCATGGGGAGTGTCGGATGCGCAGGCCATAAATCACAGCACAGCTCCAGGCACATCCAGAGGGGAGGCAACAAGTGAGGTTCTTTGTTGTTTCAAATGTAGGACAGGTGATTATTATTTTTCTAAGTGGGGAAGGGCCAGGTCTTTGCTTTTTTTTTTTTTTAATGCCAAGCAGAAAACCAAGGGTGATATGGAAATAATTTCTTAGGCGCAAATGATGTTTACTTTAAGCGGCTGCTCGTAATTCACCACCTGACACTGGTGGATTACACCCACAAATAAGTCAGGTAAAAGGACAGCTGTGAAAAATGCAAAGAGAGTGAGTCAACAGGGTGGAGACTGGTTTCATGGCAAAGAACAAGTCATGCAGAAAACTGGATTTCAAACATTCCTAGATCTCTATTCTTATCCAAACAATGTAATTAATAGGGATTGCATTCATTTTAGGGCTCACTCAAAATTCCCAGGTTTGTGATGTTAAACTAAATTCAGTGTGTTTGCTCTTCCACTTGATGTACCCTTGGCAGGGAATCACTTCCTGTTTTCAAACAAAAGTAAAACAAGCAAAAAAGCAAGACAAAATGAAGCAAAAAATACAAACTAAAAGAAAAAAGAAATGCATTTAAAATACTTAAAACAAATCATCGTTTTTGGATGTGAAATTTTCCTTAAAATATCTCTGTTCTGATGATTACAGTATACGTGAATCAGAAATTTATAGAAATAGTGTTGCTTAAAATACACATAATATTGAAATGCAAAAAGAAATGATAATGAACATCTACACGAACATAAAGTATTTGCAAAAGCAACTGCACTTGGTGGACACCTGCTAGTACTTAAAAATAAGAGCCTAAGAGAGAAGGGAAGGTGCATATTAGCTATATTCATGTCTTTTCATTTTTAACTATCTCAATAAAGATGATACACAGAAAGTCATCATGCATTAGCATTTTCTTAGATGTGGTTTCAATATTTTAAAGTCCCATGCAAAGAGCAATACATTTCAGGATCTTTCATATGATAATTTGCAGTTTACTCTGTCAAAATGAGTCTCTCCTTTTATAAAGCAGAAAAGCAATACTATATTCTAATATTGTTTAATTTTTTTTACCAAGTGTTTTAGAAGGAACACAAGAAGTGGACAATATTTTTTTTGAAAATGAGATCATATATAAATCATCCCAAGTTACTTATTTTCACCTTCTATTTAGCTAGCCCCACAACTCAGTCCATCAGTTATTTTCTCTCCACCTTTATAGAATAGTAAACAATGTGTTCAAGACAGATGGACATGAATTGTGAAGGAAATTGCATATATAATGCTCTTCTCATAGAAGCGAAACACTTGTTAATAAAATGTGATGGCAATGAAAAAATCTTGGGAAAGATTATATCCTACAATTCTAAAAATACAAGGGGGACTCCCCCAAAGCAAAATTTATTTATAAAAATTGTGAATTTGTTTTTTACTTTTTAAAGACAAGGTCTCACTCTGTTGCCCAGGCCGGAGTGCAATCACACAATTGCAGCTTACTGCAGCCTCGAACACCTGGGCTTAAGTGATCCTCCTGCCTTGGCATCCCAGGCAACTAGGTCTACAGGCACATGCTCCCACACCCAACTAATATAAAAATATATATATTCCAGAGTCAGGATCTCCCTATGTTGCCCAGGCTGGTCTTAAATTCCTAAGCTCAAGCAATCCTCCCACCTGTACCTCCTAAAGTAACAACAACAACAACGACAAAATTAAGTGTCAGGACATTTAAATTACATTAGAGGTGAAGGAAGAAGCATAGTGAGTGTCAAAGCTTTATTACAGCAACACAAAAAATATCAAAGGGGATTTACAAATAACCCCAGTATTTGTGTATTTTACGCTACTTCCTGGATTTTGCATTTTTAAAAAATAAAAATATATGATGTCCTATAAAATACATTCTCTTATATGCTACTCAAAGGTAATTTTCAAAATTTTTAATCTATAGGATACAAGAGGAGTATAATCTGGGACTGTGATTCAAGGTGAAGTGACCTATCTTGACCTCTAAGTGGCTAATGAATCGGTAAAATGTTCATGACTAATATTCAGTAATATAGCATCATAGACGTAGGAGATTTTTCAATGTTTCAGAAATTTTAATACAATATAGGGTTAATTTTGAATTCATTTTAAAAGTGAGTACTTGCCCCTATACAAGAATAGGTGAAATCAACATCTGTGTACTTAAAATTTAAAGAGTAAACCCTGTTAAAGAAGTCAAGATCTGGCTGGGCACAGTGGCTCATGCCTGTAATCCCAGCACTTTGGGAGCCTGATGCATGGAGGTTGCTTGAGGCCAGGAGCCTGCAACCAACCTAATTAGCATAGTGAGATCTCATCTCCATGAAAATAAAAAAATTACCCTGGCATAGTGCTGCGTGTGCCTATAGTCCCCACTACTCAGGAGGCTAAGACAGAAGGATCACCTGAGCCCAGGAGGTCAATGCTGCAGTGAGCCGTGATCATGCCACTGCACTCCAGTCTTGACCACAGAGTGAGACACCAACTCAAAAAAAAAAAGCCAACAACATGAAATTAATCTTCAAATTATATATTTGCTTTATATTTTTGCATAATTATATCCTGTATTTATAATCCTAGCCAGGAGTTATATAAACTAATACTGGAGATTAGCGGAGGAGTTATAGTTGGATATATCTAGCACCGTACAGAAAAAGTTTACCTTTATGTGCATTAGTGACAATAGTTAGTTTGATAGTACTATCTTCACATGTAGAGGGGAGTATTGTATTATATGGCATTAATCTATGGGAAATAAAATCCATTTAGTTCAATCATGAGGTGATGAGACAAACTGCAAGCTGGGAAAAGATATTCGTCACGACTGACCACAGCCTCAAACTCCCAGGACCAGGAAATGTTTCTGCCTCAACCTTCCCAATAGATGGGATTACAGGCACATGCCACCACATGCAGCTCATTTTTTTTTTAACTTTTTAAGCCATCAGTTTTCGCTATGTTGCCCAGGCTGGTCTCAAACCCCTGGGCTCAAGTGGTACTCTCAGTTGGCCTCCCCAGGTACTGGGAAATTATGTCAGGTGAAGATACTCCTAATAAGCATTAATGACTAAGGATGGATATTATCATCATCATCTATAGAATTCCTAAAAATCAAGCAGAAGAAAACAACTGAATAGAAGAATGGGTGAAAGATATGAAAAATATGTTAATGAGAAAGGAAACATAAATGACCAATAAACATGAATCAATGATCTATTTCAGTAGTAAACTGAAAATGGCAATTGAGAATGCCACAAGATGCTATTTAATTCCTCAGATGGAAAACAATAAGTAAGAAATCTGACAATTCCAATGTTGGTAAGGAAATGTATATTCTCATAGTGGTAAATTTTACAACCACTTTGGAAAACAATTTGGCATTATCTTAATAATTTAAACAAGTACATTTCCTACAATCTAGTAATTCCATGCCTAGCTGTTATGGGCTAGAGAAATTCCTCGTATATGCAAGGTACTCTAGAAGATACGTACATGATTTTTCATTGCAACAAAAAACCTAGAAACAAACACTAGAAAATAAATAAATATATTTTGATGTAGTCAACAGGAAAATAGTCTATAGCAATAAAAATGATACCATGTTATTGTACTCACAAATTTAAAACCGAGATCCTCTTGTTTAGTGATAACTTTAAGAATATCTAAAAAAGTTATAATTTGGATAAAACACGGAAATGGTAAACACAAAGTGCAACACAAACACAATTATATCTGTAGAAATATAAAATAAGGAGGGATCACACAGGTGGTCAATCACACAGTGTTACTAATACCTTACTGGTATTATCATATTATAATTGTACTTGGATAACATTTATTTTATTCTCTTTTATAAACATATTTTATCTAATTTAATTTATCAAAGACTGCATGAAAAGTAATTGTGAATTTATATAAAGAAAAACAATACATAAAACGAATATAGACACTATTCATAAATGCAAACTTTGTGCAGTTTATAACATTTTGAATTTTGTATAATTCTGAAATAGATCAATCAAAACTGTTGTATACTATAAATACTCACGTGTGCATGTGTGTGTGTGTGTGTGTGTGTGTGTGTGTGTGTGTTTCGTTTCATTGTGATTCTAAACTTTGTGTATAGCAGACTGGTACATGTATCTTGACAAAAAGTTGAGTGCATTCTATTCCTTATATTCATAATGTGGCCAGGAATACAGTTGAAATGCTCATCTAAGATGGCTTTAGATAACCATCCTGTAATGATGACAACACACTAATCATCCTTGGGAGATAAAATCAAGATAAAACCCCAATGTGATAGGTTTGGTTAATGGCTGTCATAAATCTATGCATACCCTTTTGTATCTAATTTTACTGTTCTTATATTCAACAGACAGAGGCTCTTTTGCTACCCTTTGAATTTTGACTGATCTTGTGTTTTGCTTTGACCAATGAAATGTGGCAGAAATATGAGTTCCAACGCTGAGTCTTCAAGACCTTTCAGCAGATACAGCCTTTATAGTCCTGCAATTGTCATTTAAGAACGTGACCTGGACCACTGATGAATAAGAGGCCATATGGAGGGAAAATGACATGTTTTTGTTTACAACTAGTAACAAGCATCTCACAGGGAACCTTTCAGTTCAGCTGGTCCTTTGTGCGGAATACAGCCCAATGAGAGAGCCAGGTAAAAACAGCAGAGAACCACTACAGAATCCTGAGAAATAATACATCTTCATTGTTT